CTCACGCAGCCGCCGCTCCACCCGCCGCGGCAAGGGCAGGCGGCCGGGCACCCGGCCCCCCCGGACATCCTGGCGATGAAGCAAAACCGAGAAAGCTGCTTGTGCTGAGAAGGTGGTGGCACAGGACACACCTGGGTGGATGGGAGGGGAGGGCCAGTAGGAGCCTTTCCAGAAGTGACCGCTCTCGGTGAATAAAAGGTGCCGGCGGTCACTCTCCCCACCGGATATCGGACACCCGTGCGTCGCTCCGCGCTCTCTTTTCCGAATAGTGCCTGGCAACGCGCTGTGAAACGCAGACCTGTCGGACAGGCCCGAGCGTCCACTCTCAGCCGGCCAGCAGCCGCCTCGGGCGGGAGCAAGCACTTCCAGCCCCTTATCTTTATAGATCATTAATCTCCTGCAAGTGTCGTCTGGCGTCCGGTGAGAAAATGGGCAACAAGCTGCCGGGACAAGACCCAGGCTGGCTGCCCTCCCTGCCAGCCCACCTCAGAAGCTGGCCGGGGCCTGCGGCACGGACTCAGCCTTTGCTCTGTGACATTTTTGCAAGCCGGTGCAACAGAAACTCTCTGCGCCTTCACAAAAGTGTACTTATTTTTGTGATAAATTTTCTGGACTGTAAAGACCCTTGAATGTGGAAGCGCATGTACAATTTAATGGCAAAACACAATCAGTTGGAAAAGTAAAACTTGTAGCTGCGCAGACCCCTTTTCCAAGTTGAATTCCTGCCTCTAGAATTTCCCCGGGCAGTGGGGGTTAAAAGTGGGGCGCGCGGCTGGGCGGGTCTGCACTGAACTCCCCTTTTCTGTCTGCCCACAGGCGCCAAACAGAAGCAGCCAGAAGCCGAATGACCACGAGCAGGGCGACGCCTCCTGGACCTGAACGGGGACCCTGGGTCACGCTTTGACCACGTGGACCACGAGAGGAGAGGGAGGTGGCTGAGGACGCGGTCGGGGTTGGCGAGGGGTGTTTTTCCCAGAGCAGTTGAAACTCAAAGCAAGACTTCTGTGTGTTTGGACGTTCGGGCTTGCATCGAAGGGTGGTTGTCTGACCTCCGCAGCGTTTCCGACGCTGTCTGCTGTCAGAGTGCCCCTGTCTGGAACTTCTGTTGTTTTCCATTTCAAAGAACCCCCTGGTGTGTGGCGGCCCCGGGACATAAGGTGAGCGTGTGGCTTTCAGACCTAGTGCCTTATGTCGGGACACAGCGCCCGCAGCCGGCCAGCTGGTCCCCGTAAGGTGCGTCCAAAAGTTGTCGTTGAACATAAATAATCGCTCAAACCTTCCATGGCCGTTCTGTGTTAAGTGTTCCGTTCTGAACTCGAGTGTAAACAAAACTGCTTTCCGACAGCTTTATTTATTTTTACTTCCATGCAGTTTTTTACACATCTTTTCGTGGGTGAGGCTGCACCAGACCCATGAATAAACCATTGGTTGTTTTTAAGTGGCGGCTCTCTCGTCATTTAAGTGTGGACCTACACAGGCGGGGCGTTCTGAAGTAGCCACAGTTAGGCGGGGGGTGGGGGCTGGAGTTCGCGAGGCGGCTGGGGGCGGCCGGGGGCGGCCACGGGGGGCCCCCCGAGCACCCGACGCGCCTCTGTGTGTCTCGCGTGTCCGACGTAGCGAGGCGTGCTGCGGCCTCGGGCGGCGGAGGTGAGGCGTCGGGCCGGTGCAGGGAGGCACGACGCTGTGCACCCGCAGAGTGGCCTGGAGTTCTGGGGTGGGTGGGCTTTTGTTTTCGTTGTTTGGGTCTTTGAGGTGTTTTTGTTTTTGTTTTCCAAACTGAAAATTGAAAGTAAATCTTGCTATCTACCATTTTGTTAAAAAAAAAAAGTTCTGGAACAGACCCTGTGTGTCAGCGCCTGGCACCAAAACCCCACCTGCAGCGTCCACCCACGTGCCCCGGGGAGCATGCGCCCTGGCGGCCTGGCCGCTGTCCCCGAAAGCAGGCGTGTTTCGCTCGTGGACTTCTCGTGCGTCATGAAACAGGACGTGTGGCTGTGCCCACACGGCGGACGGGGGTACCCATCGGTGGCTCCCGAAGCAGCCTGCGTGTGCTCCCCGGCCTGCACGGGCCTGCGCGGCGCCCGAGCGACAGCCCTTGGACCCGCTGGCCCAGAACCGGGTTTGCGCCGCCGGCGAGTGGCTGCGCGTGGCTGTGCCGGCCGGGGGCTGCTTCCCGGCGACGCCCTCCGAGAGCTGGCGCTGTCCCCACAGCCCCCAGGAGTGGACGCCCACGCCTTGCCTTCCGGGCAGGGGTGTCCTGGGAGCCGAGGTTTCACGCTGTCCTCCCCGTGAGGCCGTGGGGCCTGCGGGCCGTGTCAGGCCGCACCTCACACCCCAGCTCTGGCCCTCACCCCAAGGAGCGGCGGAACGACCTCAGGTGAGCACAGGGCGGGACAACCCCAGGTGAGTCCAGGGCGGGGAAAACCCCAGGTGAGTCCAGGGCGGGACAACCCCAGGTGAGCCACCAGGTGGGACAACCCCAGGT